GACATCATAAAGAAACAAGCAGTATCTTTCTGACATCATAAAGAAACAAGCAGTTTCCTTCTGATATCATGTAGAAACAAGATATATATGTCTGATAAAAATCAGAATATATATATGCTTGTTGAATATAAATCTTCATTAAAATGTTTAAACGTTCATTTTTAAAAACGTTAAAATCATCATTAAAACGTTTAAATCTTCATTAAAAGGTTTAAATGTTCACTTTTTAAAAACATTAAAATCTTCATTAAAACGTTTAAATCTTCATTAAAAGGTTTAAATGTTCACTTTTTAAAAACATTAAATTCTTCATTTAAACGTTAAATACTTCATTAAAACGGTTAAATGTTCATTTTTAAAAACGTTTAAAGGTTCAATAAAACGTTAAAATCTTCATTTTTAAAATCGTTAAAATGTTCATTAAAACGTTTAAATGTTCATTAAAATGTTAAAATCTTCATTAAAACATTAAAATGTTCATTAAAATGTTAAAATGTTCATTAAAACAATACATTCTTCATTAAAACGTTTAAATGTTCATTTTTAAAAACGCTAAAATGTTCATTTAAACGTTAAAATCTTCATTAAAACGGTTAAATGTTATTTTTTTTAAACTTTAAAAGGTTCATTAAAATGTTAAAATTTTCATTAAAACATTAAAATGTTCATTAAAACGTTGAAATGTTCATTTTTAAAAACGTTTAAAGGTTCAATAAAACTTTAAAATCTTCATTTTTAAAAACGTTAAAATGTTCATTAAAATGTTAAAATCTTCATTAAACCATTAAAATGTTCATTAAAACAATAAATTCTTCATTAAAACGTTTAAATGTTCATTTTTAAAAACGTTAAAATGTTCATTAAAACATTAAAATCTTCATATTTTTTTATTTATATTTGATTAAACAATGTTGATTAAGGTGTGTGTGTCTGAGAGAGATAGAGAGGGTGAGAGGGAGAGAGATGGAGTTAAAAAAAATAAAAAAATTCGACCGGAGCGGAGGTAGTGAGTTAATGCAGCACGTCAACTCTGTCTTGTCAAATGCACCATGTAAGTTAGTTATGAAAAAAGTAACTTTAAATATTCAACTGAAAAAGAAGCGAGCTGAAGAAAACCTAGGGAAAACTGAAGAAACGTGAGCAACAGTGAAGCAAGCACAGCGAGATCCGTTACTGTGTGTGTGTGTGTGTGTGTGTGTGTGTGTGTGTGTGTGTGTGTGTGTGTGTGTGTGTGTGTGTGTGTGTGTGTGTGTGTGCGCGTGGATGAGACGGACGGACTGTGTTCCCGGCCGGCTAGAGAGTTTTGTGTGTAGGGAGGGGCAGGCGCTCTATGTGACTGGCCAATCACAGAGCGTGAAGACAGTAAGTTACCCAATGAGGATTTTCCTTCAGCACGATTACAGATATTTCCGAGGTTTACTCGTCTCATGCTCGTATTCATCAAAAATGCTTTATCCGTACCGGATACTCGTCTGAAATGAGTATCCGGCTCATCCCTAATAAACATATTATAAATCAGCTGCGTTCGTGATTTAAAACATGCAGGAAATGTGCTGGAAGCAGACTGCAGCTCCAGGTATGTCAGCTCAATATTTTGTTAAAGAGCAAGTCAACCCCTACCTGAGTCTAACTCCACTCCCACTTCATGTTTGAAAAATGCAACACATGCTGTTGCCTGGCAGACCGAGAGGGCGGAGCCGCTAACAAATACACACACACTCAGGCTCACGACAGCATTGTGACATCATAATGTACCAGTTTACATCATAGCATACTTCTTAGCCAATAGCAGTGGCAGATTTAAATTAAAATACAGTGCAGAGTTTTTACCTGACAACAACACAACACTGCCAGTTTTAGGCAGAATAAATAAATTTTAACTAAGATGCACTGAAGTGCCAAATTATTGACGACACGTGTCTGCAGCACGATTAGACACTCGTTTATTTAGTTTATCGGCAAAAAAAGTTTATTTTGGGGTGACTTGCTCTTTAAGTCCCAACAAAGTGAACTGCCAGTCTGAAGTTGCAAGTAGAATATTCTGGCCAAAGGGGTGTGATATGGGCTAGGTGGCTGTTCATTAACCCTCTAAAACAGGAGTATTTGATTCCGGTCCTGGAAGGCCAGTATCCAGCAAGTTTTAGTGGTTTCTCTGCTCCAATATGTTTGATTCAGTGGTTTAATCACCTGTGCAGCAGTTCAGGCTCTGCAGAAGCTTAACCCCGTAAATTTCCAGGTTTAATTAACGCAATGGGGTTTTGTCCCTCGGGAGGGATGCTGGAATGCTAAGGAGTTAATCACCTGCTGGTTGAAATCAGGTGTGTTGAAACAGAGTTAAAACTAAAACGTGCTCGATACCGGCCCTCCAGGCTGGGAACTTCATACCACTGCTGTTAACAGTCATTTTAGCACATACTGGCTCAAGAAAATTAAAAAATATGAAAACATTTCATATCATGGCTTTAAAATGTGTGTAGGACTCCGACATAGGGTTCAGACTTTTTGCTGCAACTGTAAACACAATTTTCTGTAATTATTGAATACGAAGTTGATTAAAATACAGCTAAACACGACATACTAGCGGCATGAGCTGCCCTGTAAGACATCTTTTTAGTGACGTATGACAAACAGCTCTTCACGGTTTAGAGGAATTTAGATTTTTATGATGATTTATGACAAAATTCCTTAAAATGAATAACTGAACCTAGTTTATCTTTATGTAGACGGTAAAGTGTAGTGAAACAGCGCTAGTCTCAGTCGGCATAAGCAGCAGGGCCCTGCAGGGAATCGAACCCCGTCTCATTACTGAGAGTTCCGTTACCAGAGCCTTTTGCTTTGGGCGACCTGAGACGGTAAAGCAAAACCTGCATCAACACAGCATTTAATGTTGGTGGAACATAAATTCTGTCTTGATGCAGGAAAAAAGAAACCGTCAGATTAAAAAATTATTTCCAATTAAATTAATTTTAATATTTTATAAATGTTTTACAGATTTAGAGCCTCCTTTGACTTTTACGCTTTTCGTTAACTTCTCGTTCTTTTATGATGTTTATCCGTTCTTTAGTCGCGGTCAAACGCATCGTAATTTTGTTCTGCGGTGAATCTTAAAGTTATGTTGAATGTAAATAATCTGAGTCTTTATTGCTTCAATTTAACAGCACAGTAACTTGTTAAAATATTCAAGTTAATTTAAATCATTTACATGTTTAATTAGACTATATTTTATTAGCCTTTAATATTTTAGTATTTATTGTTGAACTTTTGTAAAGAGCTATTTTTAAACGCGTGCACATTTAAACACTAAAACCTTTGTTTGCTCCATCTGTGTCAGAGCTCTGCTGTTCAGCTCCTTCCTGGTTCCTGCAGGACCACAAAGCCCAGAGAAGCTCAGTCCAGCAGGACGTGAGGACACGAACAGACACGCAGAGCTCCTCCTAAACCTGGAATCAAACTTTTCTACAGATGATTTAGAACAGTTTCTTGTGACAGAACAGTTAGTGAAACAGAAAGGACATGATGAAGATGATGTTATCGTCCTTGTCTTTCATACAGATCAAATATCACCCCAGTTTATGCTCATGTCACTAAGTAAACGTCCCATTTCTCACTAAGACCTGCTCTATCGGCTCTACCAGATTATCAGAAGCATCACTGTAGTTGTAGTTTTGCCTCCATCTTCCTGCCCTCCTTGGTCTCTTGTTTATCTTCTACTACCTCTCATCATCCATCTCAGGTGGGATCTTGTTTGCTCCGATGGCCTCTTGAGTTCCAGGCTTACATCTTTTAGTGAACGTTAAATCATATACTAATATACATGTATGTATGTGTGTGTGTATGGTATGATGCTAAACCAGACTGCCTGCTCCATCAGATGAAAAGGAAATCCTCTCAGGACCCAAATAAAATAGAAGATTTAGCAACCAGACACAGAAGCCCAGGTGAAACGTCCACATCAGCATCTCCAGTTCTACCAGCTCTAAAAACACACTTCTGAAATAATAAAACACTAAACTCAGCCAACGGATGAAGACGTCCTGGTGCCAGATGCTACCTAAGACATCACCAGTTCAGCTGACTTGATAAAACACTTGGTGACTAAAACAAACATCTGGTGACCTGGTAAAAAACAGTCCTGGTGCAACAAGCTACCTGAGACAAACGTTTCCAGTCAACCTGTTCAAGAAAGAAAGAAAGAAAAAAATCTTCAGTGGCGCTGCACTGGAAAAAAAAGATATCTCTAGTCCGAGTCGGAGTCGTCCGAGTCGTCCCATCTTGGTCTCTTCGGTGGGATGTACGGGAAGCGCTCTCCAGTCCTCTTCTGGCTGGATCCAAGGACCGAGGTAGAAGGAGTGGGTTCTTCTACATCCTGGACCTCTTCAGCGCTCCCGTGGGCAGGCCTGGGATCTTCTGGAAGCTCTTCCGGTGGGGCCGGAGGAGCTACCGCCAGCCAGAAGTCTTCTGGTGGTGGAAGCTGCTGGTCTTCATCGCTATCCAGAATTGAGCTACCATAACCAGAGTCCACACTAGAAGCCAGAAAACCTTCTAAAGCTGACCAATCTGAGCTATTGTCAGTCTCCTCCGACTCCTCATCACTACTCAGACCCTCAACTGCAAACTCTGCCTCTTCTAGAGGAGCCTGACCATGATGACACACAAACACCACATCATCATCAGGAATGTGAAGGGCTGGGTACCCACCTTCATCTTCACCGAGAATCCGGATGACCTCAGGGACCCCTGCAGTCACGGGACGCTCCACGATGAAGATGCCTGTGAGGACAAAACAAGACACATTAAATCTACTTGTCTCATAAAACAGTTATTAAAAAGCTACAGTGACTCGTTTACAATACAAGAGATGTGTGTCTGCATCTGCATGTGTGCACAAGATACACTTTACTAATCTGGTTGTTTTTTAGGGTTTAACAGGTTAAAACCGATTTCTGCTTTTACTGAGAAAGTTTCCATTTTTAATTGATGTGATTGTTTATTATTTATGTTTCATATTTATAGCTGATGTATTTCTAAAAAGATTTATTCTTTTACAGCTTGTAGACACAACACTGCTCAAATAAAGTTGTTTTAGAATGGGCTCTACAAAAATAAACAGAAGACTCAAACTGGTGAAAACTGTTTAAAAAATATTCAAACGGACAGAAATGCATTTATAAACCTGAGAACCAACTCAGAGAACACGTCAAACTTTTTACTTGGATAAAACTGATGAAGTCCTTAAAGATCAAAGGTCTCTAGTTCACTCAGATTTATGAAAACAACTCATGTTCACCGATGCTAACAGGCTGAAGCTAAAGCTAGCTGTATGTTCTAGCATGTTCTACGTCATGACGTTTCATACCTGGTTCACCCGTTTCTATGGTTACGAAAACAACATGTTATTGTTTGAACCATACATTTTTAGAATCGTACATGTCATTTAATTAATTTTAAACATTTCGATGTAAAATTGAACTAAATGGACTTGCTGAAACCAAATTGGTGGTTTTCTTTTAACGGTTCTCTCTAGTCTGATATAGTCATCCCACCGACCTGCTGGCTGGGACCCTCAAGATGTTGAGGCTGTGTGATGAGGTTGAGTCACGGGTCGGTGCTAATGTGAGAAACATTTTGTCTCTATCCCGCTAAAAGAACCACATATTCAGCTTTTATTTTGCGTGCCCAGCTGACAAAAACCAACAGGCACTCCTCGCGCTCATCACCTTGCTGCTGTCCATCCTCTTTTATATCAATAACACAAATGAAACCAATACATGCCAGAACAAAACTAGTAAAAACATTTGATGTGTTCAAACTGGGGATTACAAAAGCACAACAGCGCTTAAAGTCCTCACTGTTCCAGGGGAATTTGAGCCTCACTTGTCCACAGAAAACATGTTTCACCTAAAACACCAAATCTCATCTCGTCTTTTTCCGCCTATCCGTGTCCGGGTCGCGAGGGCAGCATCCCAAATAGGCAGTTGTTCCACACCGTCCTCTCCCCAGCCACCTCCACCAGCTTCTCCGGCAGGACCCCTAGGCGTTCCTGGGCCAGTTCGGATATGTACTTTCTCCAACGTGTCCTGGGTCGTCCTGGGGGCCTCCTGCCAGCAGGACATGCCCAAAACACCTCACCAGGGAGGCGTGCAGGAGGCATCCTAGCTAGATGCCCAAACCACCTTAACTGACTCCTCGATATGGAGGAGCAGCGGCTCTATTCCGAGTCTCTACCGAATGTCCGAGCTCCTCACCCTATCCCTAAGGCTGACCCAGCCACCCCGCGGAGAAAACTCATTTCGGACGCTTGTATCCGCGATCGTGTCCTTTCTGTCATTACACAAAGCTCAATACCATAGGTGAGGAGTGGGCGGTAGTAGATCGACTGCTCTTGCTGGGGAGGTTCGCAGCCGAGTGTGAAGAGGCTGGGATGAGGATCAGCACCTCCAAGTCTGAGACCATGGTTCACGATCGGAAAAGAGCGTTTGTCAACTCCATGTCGGTGGAGAGGTCCTGCCTCAAGTGGGAGAGACAGCTGTAGTGACCTCAGTAATTGCAGCACTTATTGCATCATCGGCATCATCATGCCAACGTTTTTATTTTTTACTTTAAAATCAAAACAAACAAGGCTGTCACCGAAAATATTTGAAATATTTCAAGCGGTTTACAAATGCACTTCCCAGTCACTCCATGCATATACAGTGTAATGCAATCAGAAGCGTTAATGCATTTATTTTTTCCATCATTTTTATTGCTCCCCCAGACGAATCCGTGACGGTACTCTAGTGGAAGATCCACAGACACTTCCGGGTTGAAGACCGGCGGTGGGTCACCGGCCTCCGGTACGGAGTCAGGAAAAGCAGGGGAGCACCAGAGCCAGATGGAGAGCAGTTCTCAATTTCTGAAATAATTTATGACAACTGCTACCAATGTGGATTGTGGAATAAAAAGAGATAAACTGTTAGTTTTCTCAATATTGTCATTGCAATCGGGGCAGATACCGCCATCTGCCGGCTTAACATGGTATTGCAGTACAATTTAAACAACTTGGGAGTGAAAAGGCTGTTTGTCACTACAACAGATTTGGGGATGTATTTTATTGTTAATAGATATTGTGGTTTTACAACAATAAAGTTTTGTACTGTGCATATGGATTTATCACTCTCTGTAATGTGAAGGGACTCCAACAAAGAAGACTTAGAACACAATAAAACTTTATTAAAACCAAGACCTATGCTGTTTAGTCTTGTACCTCAAATCTGGAGAAAACTTTGAGGTTCTTCTCATCTATGATAAAGGAACAGAACTTGTCATAGTCTTTTTTATTTTCAAAAGCAAAAGTCAAATGTTCTGCTGGAGATTCATAATCATGGTCCTCGTTCCAGCTTCGAACTGCCTCAAGGACTTCCTGCTGTTCTTCCTCATCCATGGACAGAACGGATGGCACTTTAACCATTCCCTCGAACAGTGTTCCCTTTACCCACTCAGCTGCTGCCAGCGTGTCTGCCAAAATACTGCTTTCCTGTGAAAATGACAGACACACACACACACATATATATATATACATGCAATGTTTATGCATGTATGCTGAAAACCCCTCTTTGATTTCTAAGTAGAACTTGCAAAATTCCCGGGACATCAAACACCCTCCGCCCTCACTGTAAATATATACATATATACTATATACTATGCTTGTTATGTGTGCTTTACCTTTGGAGTGTCATCATTAATGACCAGTTCTGCTTTTCTGTGAGGTCAGAGAAATCATAGCGTTTCAAAATTACAGCTTATTATACATGCTCCTAACAGGAGTCAGCACCCAAATGTTACTATACCCTTCATTGTCAATGAATGGCTTGGTCTTCATAAGCAAGTCTTCTGCTTGAAAACGGCAGATGACATTTGTAGTCTGCAACCACTGAATCAGAGCCTATAAAACAATTTTACATCAAATTAATTTGGAAAAAGTTAGAATCTACATTATGCAGATGTTTGGCCACATTATTATTGTGAAGGCACTATTTTCTGTTGGTGAGAATGTAATTTTAGCATCCAACTTCTTCCTGCTTGTGTTACAAAACATTACAAATACTAGTAAGTTGTGTTTTTTGCGTATTTATAAGTGTCATATAAACATACCTCGGGCAGAACAACATCTGTTATGAAATGAGGATCCACAGATGTATTTCCTGAACGTGACAGGACTCTTTCCAAACGCTGGATGATTGTTTCAGTCTGGAACAGGAAGTAATAAATATAATAAATGAACAATAAAAATATACAATTAATTGGGAGGTTGGAGACAAAGTCATTAAATTCTTTAGTTCTGTATAACTTCCAATGTACGTTCTTGTCAATAACACATTATTTATAAATTTTACCATGGCCAATTTACACCTTATCCTGAAGAATAAATCTCTGTTTAGTAATTCTTCTTTTAGTAATATTGTAAAAATTTGTATTTGGATTTACTGTACATATTTAGAGAGTAAGAGGGACGGTGTTTTAAAAAATACATTAACCTCAAAGGGAAATATGCATTGTACCGGTTTATAGGTCAAGAACTAATTTCAGCCTGTAGTCCCAGGGAAGGCTGCTTTTATAAGAACATGTTTTGAAATGTCATGTTAAAAAAAGGAACTGCATAAAAAAAAGACCAATTTGATGTTAAATTACATTAAAACTTGCCATACATTCACGCAACAAACATATTATCTACACCCTCTCATCTACATTGGTTATCGGGTGTTGGTGCAAGTTTGCTTTGATGAAAGGTCAGATACAGAAGAACAGAAAGGCTCTGTGTATTTCCTACCCTATACAAAACAGGCTGAAAAGATATAACCAGCAATGCATAGAGATAAACTAACACCATCGGTAAAGTAAATGGTAATAACGTAAATATTTTGCTCATATTCATTTCTTGGAGAACACAATACTTATAGCTGTTGCACTGCTAAACATATTTTGTTAAAACTTGTTTAGCATTGTCATACAGTTAAGGCTATGATGACACAAGAGATGGTGTATTGAAAGAAAAGTAGGTGAAATAACATTCCACATACCGTCATGTCATCAAATACGGTTACATGCTCACTGTAGTGTTTTCTGAGACTTGGGTCAAATCCTTTGTGCTTCCACAGATACATTCTGTTCGAAAGGATGTGGCCGGTCTGCAGGTTTCTTTCCAAGTCCTGTAATGTAGTATGCATATGAAGACATTTACGTTTTGACTTTTTATAAGACTGCTACTTTGGAGCTACTCTAAAGACGATGATAAATATACGTCCTTACCTTAATCTCTGAATCTGTCAGAATGTCATCTGCATAGACTCCTTCCATAATCTTTTTCCTGTGAAGGACAAATTACTTTTAAATACCAATCTTTAGTTTTCTCAGTTTTCCAAATCCACAAATGATTTTGAAGGGCAATGATTTACTCTTTTTCCTCATTGAATAATACAAGGAGCACTGCAATGACTACATAATTTAATGTGTCTTACAATTTGAAGTCATTTCAAATGACCAACAAATTTTGCATTCTTGACAGTGTGATATATTTCTCTTTGATGCTACATATAACAAAGTACGTGGTGTTTTGAAGTAACGGTGTGTAGCTTGAAACTAATTTGAGTATAGACTGAGCTGTTGTTCTAAAAGGGATGCTGCTTGTCTTACACATCAACATGTATACTGCATCCACAGAAGAAGTCCTTGGAAGCCCAGTCTCCGGTCACACCAGCACACTCAAAATGCAACCAGCTTTTACAAGCAGTGCATTGCACCCACTTGTATTTTTTAATGTGCTCATGGAAAACACTGTGGAAAGTACATTTTTATACATGTCAGAATAAAAGTGACACTGTTCAATTTTACATGATTAAAAAAATAACAACCTTTGACATTCAACAATTAAGTAGATATGAGATGGTAACATACCTGTTCTTTCCAGTTGCCCTTTGAAACAGGCATGTCCTAATTCTCCAGGACAGGCAATGGATGCTGGAGTCAGTGTCTTTTATTTCTGTTCCTTGAAGCTTAACTTCCTTTTGTTTTATAGCCAACATTTCTTGCATAGTTGGTGGGAAATCCTGTATTAATAAAAAATATCAAACAATGCAGCACTGAATTCTTATAAAAGTAATCTACATTACCATATTCTACCAGGTGAAGACAGCTAACCTCAGGATTAACGTTTTCTAGCATTTGGGTGGCATGGTGCAGACGAAGAGTCCTGCATTGGTTCACTGTCAATGCTTCTGTCATGGATTCACGATGTTTAACTACATTTTCAACAGCCTTGTTAGAGAAAATATATGGAATATGGTTGAAACATCAAATTAAAGACAAACAGTTGTAAAACCAGTTAGGATCACAGACACTCACTGAGCACACAAGTACGCCACAGTTCACAGAGTCTTGCTGCTTCCACTGTGGAGGATATACCACAGTCCAGCCGTCAAGCCCACCGGAAGACCTGAAGACATTCCTGCAAAAGATAGTTCAAGCCTTATGTATTACTGTAGTATCAAAATTTAAAAGGTGACATATTATTTTTGTTTTGTAAATACCTCAGTAGATTCATGTCTTCATCACTGATAATGCAGTATAGTGAAAGGGAATCATAGATGTGAATTGCTTTTGCTTTGAAGTCAAACACCTAAAAGGAAATGTATATTTTCGTCATTTGAGTAACAGCAAATTTAACACTTTTTTTCTAATTTTACTTTTTGTGGTATTTCTATGGGTCTACAGGTTGGGTAGTTTACATGTTACATATTGGACGATGGGAGATACTTGAATATAGAATTTAAGAATCAATCTTTCAATCAGGGAAAATAAATAATTAAACTGAGGACAAGCAGTCCACCCAGATAAAAAGAAACGAAGCTATATATACTACTGAACAATAAATAAAGAAAACTTTACTGTGCTGGGATTTTGATCACTGACTAGTAGCTGGTTAGAGAACCTCAGAGTGGAGACCAGGCAGACAGAAGGAGAAAAAACAGTTACAGAGCAGTTGTATCAAAGACAGAGTTAGGGAACAGTAAGGTTGATAAAGATAAATAGCAAAAAAAAATATATATATATATATATATATATATATATATATATATATATATATATATATATATATATATATATACCAACATCAGCACAAGATCATGTTAAAACACTTCTAAACATTTCAAAACACGTACCCCCCCCCCCCCCCCCACCCCACCCCCCCACACACACACACACACACACACACACACAAAAACACTATAATAACAGTTATGGTAGCTCACCCAAAGAATGAAATGATTCCCTGTCTCTGGAGAGGAATGCCCCACTATCCTAGGGAGGAATACTGTGTCAGCAACCTGAAATGAAAGGATTTATTAATCAGAAATTTTAGTTCCTCTATTAGTTTTTGTAATGCATTTTAACACAGTCCATAGATTTTCAAATATCATTTAAAAAGGACTTGCAGGGATGTTCTTCACAAGCTGGTCACTGACAGACCCATTTTTCTTCCACTCACGGTGCCATAAAATAAAGTCAAAGGTGGCCAATGAGGCACACTGAAAAAGAAAAGTATACAGAAATACATTTATGTATCTATCACCAAGGATTATACTATTTCCAAATTTGAACCTATATACATATATATTACCATGTTCTCTTTTGCCAGTTGTGCTACTCGATAGTTCACAGCCTACAATTAAATGTAACATTTGTGTATTTAAGTTATAACAGAAACTAGATATAGGAAACATATCATGATTCTTTTCCAAAGCAAAAATATAAATATACTTACGTCATCTGTCAACCATGGCATAACCAAGGAGGATTCTTCCAACAGCTGTTGGGGGCACACACTGGCAATGTCTTTTATAGACACTGGAAAACGCCGCGTAGCATGAGCAATCGCTTGTTGCTCATCCCGTTGTCCTGTCAATAACCTTCTCAACTTGTCCTGAAGCATTGGTTTAGGAAAAAAAACTTTGTGAGAGCATAAACCAAATGGGTAGAAAAATCATTTATATTTTTAAAATTTACCTTGTTGTTGTCATCCACAATATATCTCTGGGCAACAAAAGAGGATGTCACATTTTTATCCTTTTTGATGCAGGCAGAGCTCTCCATATTGGATGGGAACGTTTCCATGCCTGAAACAGATAAAAGTTGTACAACTTAGAATGATTTCAAAATCATATTTTCATTAATAGCACTGTGTTGACAACTCAGTATTGTGTTCTATTACTTTGTTGTAACCAAGGTTATAAAAACCAACAACTGACAAATTACACAACTGTTATTATTCCTTCATCATTTCAAATAATCCTTATAAATATAATTTACTTTCACATGTTGATCAAATTACCTGTAGGCTGCAGTCCCAACATGCCACTCAATCCCAAAGACAGTGGGGCATTACACAGGGTCTCCATTTCTGATTTGAACTGGGTGTTTATGTTATTGTTGTGCAATTCTATCAAGACCCTGACAGTCTGCTTGAAATGTGTTTCAGTCATTTGGCACAATGAATACCTCACAGAGGCAAGTTCACGATTAAACTGTTCTGCTACAGCAGAGTTAATTTCTTTTCTGAGGGCAGGGCAAATGTTGAGGCTTCTCAGCTTTTCTTCTTGACGCTTTTGATTTTTTTGATGAAACCTGTCATACAGAGAAAACCTTTCAGACGTTCCTGTGACTGGATGTTTAGCTGACATTCTTTCCACATTTGCCTCTGGTTGTTGTGGCAAAGGACATCTCAGTTGTTTTACCCAATCCATTTCAACTTGTAGTTCTTTGGTCTTTGCTTTATTTATATTGTCCTGGGTAGGTGAACAGAGTCTCCCATCATGCGGCTTGAAAAATAATTGATTTGTGCGGTTGTTAGTGTGACGTGCGACCTGTCCAGCTACATCAGATATGTAACATGTCGGGAATCTTTTGAAACTGAGCAGTCCGTCACAGTGGTCTCTTGCAGACTCCATCCAGAAGAGGAAGTTCACATAATAGACAACTCCATGCATACATGAGAAATGGAGAACACCACCTGCAGATTAAACCAAAAACATGTAAATTCTATTAACGTCTGTGATGGGAACATTTAATGTTTTGTAATTTTATGAAAAAACTTCCATAACAATGCCAGCAACAGAATACTGTTACCAAAAGTTAACTCACCACCAGCTTTTTGTAGTTTAATGAAAAGCTTTGGGTAAACATCTTTGAAATTCAACAGCTCCTGAAGTCTGTTTGTCAAATCTGCTATGGACCCTTCAGAGGAGACACCCAAAGCAAGACAAGCATCCTGGAGATCCTTTTTAGGACACTGAAAATAGAGAATTTACATATTTCAATATGGACAAAAGATTATCTGTAGATATTGAAAGGGCATAAAGCAATAATTATATCAATTAACCTTTTTGGAGTCCAAGATTTGCAGTATGATGTCCTCATTTATTTCCTTTATGGGTTGAGTTCTATGTTCTGTAGTCTTTGTTAACGCTTTTTTGCACTCTGTTTTAGGAAGGATGTTTCCCACTCTGGTGTGTTCCCCCATCCAGGGTGCCAAAGTTGAGTGGTGAGTTGATGTACTGTATGGGTTGCCCAAAGTTGTTCCTTCAACAAAAAATAGTAGGCCATCAAATAGAGAAACCTAACTTTAAACTTTAAATGGTCTTTCTTGTACTTGAATTATGTTCCTTATTTAATTTGTATTTGTATCCATAATATTATAGACTTCAAATTCATACATACCTGATAAGAGGCCCTCTGCTATTAACGACTTGTCCAGATCATTCCATGCCTTAACAATGTCAACCTCTAGGTGTTTGTCGGAAACGCAGTCAGGATCAGGTCTTTTAAAGGTCCCCACTAGAAACAACAGATATTAAAGTATTCAGAACTTTTTCACAAAAATTAATCTTCAAATATGCACAATTTAAAACTTGTAACAAACATATTTTGGAAAAACATTGTAGAGCTACTTAATGGCACGTGTTGTTTAGGTTGTACAGTCGTGGCCAAAAGTTTTTATGACACAAATCCTGGTTTTTCCACAGTTTGCTGCTAAACAGCTTTTACATCTTTGTTACTGATGTTTCTGTGATGTACAGAAATACAACATTCTGGAGTTTATGCAAGTTGCTATTATAAAAAGAACAATAAAAGAAGAAGTTAAAAAATGTATGTCTTACATGGGATATCAAATGCCAATTTCCAGTTGGCATCTGCTATTAACACAGGTGGGTAGTAACCACACTGGTAGCATGAAAACTGAAAGCCAAAGTCTGTAAGTGACAGGAAGTGATGAAAAGCTCTTCTTATAGTTTGATGGTGGTAGCGATTGTCGTTGAAAAAGTTCAAGGTGTCCAGCATGCGTCCACTTGTTGTCTTGTTCTGTCAAAAAACACACTAACAATGTCATAGGTCAAAAAACACACTAACAATGTCATAGAAATACATTTCAGCTCAGTTACTTGTGCAAAGAGTCTAAAACTTAAAAGTGTCACAGACATGTTGAGATTTGATTTTTGTTTGAAAATTATCTCTTTTGGAAGTTGCCCTACCGCTAATCCTGACAGTAGAAGCTCACACAATGGCAGAGTAAGGAGCACAGCGTTGTTGAAATTGTGGAATCCTGAAGAATACTCCTGGAATCGCACAATGTTACTGCATCCTGGGCATTCTTTTACAGCAACTGAGACACCTAACGATCAAAAACATTTTCATCAGTTCATGTTGTATAGTAATTGAACAAAGAACCTGCATGAACAAAAAACATGTTGTAATCGACAATATAACAAAACACAAAATGGTAAAGCAATGTTTTCATTCATTTAATACTAAAATAAGGAAAAGAATTGCACAGTTACCTTTTTTTACGTAGTTAATGCCATACACAGTGGCTTGTGTTGTCACCACTTTTGGAAGCCCCAATTCTGGAGGAGTTGGCCCTGGACAGTAGGGACAGTTTTTTTCCAAAGGAACAAGGGTTGTGGATGGAGTCTCTTCCTGAGTTCGAAGGTTTAATGACAATTCTTTTAAGGGTGGGATGCGCTTCTGGGTATGAATATAGTCTGTCATGGCACATATTTTTTGGGTAGTGACACTGCATTGTGTACATGATATGTCATCTTCCATCATGTGACTTTCCAAATCTTGAATGTCCTCTGCCTGCACATCGGAGGTGGGCATTAAAGTGTCTGGTGACTCTTGGAAAATCCACCACATTGCCATCATTCGATGAATACATCGATGTGATCTTTGGCTTCCCTTACACTGACAATTCCACTTTCCTACAACAGCATCAAAGGTGACCCTTGTCCGTCTAAACTGACACCAGTTGTCTGTTTTATTTGTGAAAACTGAAAAAAAAAACCATCGTTGTGAATGTCCTTTCTCTCCAAAATTCACGGGGAAAACACTGTCCACTTTGCAGTTTTTTGCATCTGTATCCAGTTTTTCACACTTTTCACCCCACTCAGTGGACATCAAGCCTTTTTCAAGCATGACTTTGAGTGAAGCAGGTGTGAGTTCTGCTGGTTTAACATATTGCTTAGCATGCTTAGTTCGTTCAAGATGAACGCACTCTTTTCCTGGATTTCCTGAAGACCATGCTATTTGCATAAATTTGCGACAGTTTTCAACTTCGCAGTCTATTTTTGGTGGGTTGGTTGACTTCACAACATGTATAGGAAAATGTGGACTGTGCTCATGCTTTGGGGTGACATACAACCCGTTTCTTATGTCCACACATATCATAGGCATTGTTTCTATTGAATGAACATCCCTAATATGCCGTTGGTGCAATGTGGACAACAGAAATTCTCTGTTTTTGAGTCCGAACTGTCTTTTTCCTCGCCTGTGATGTCTTTTAGTTTTCTTTTTAAGGTGTTCACCTTGGCTGTAAAAATAAACAAAAATTATTAAACACATTACTCATTAGCACATTCAAAAAACACTTAATCAACCAACAATGTAAGGCAAAGCTGTAAAAAAGTATGAATCCTCAAATGGTTAAATACTTACCATGACTTTTATGTGATGATGTATCTGCAGGAGACAAAATTAAAAAAAGATCAGAGGAATAACTAATACCTTAAAGAGTTGTGTTTAATTAGGTCATTAAAAAGTTAGTGCACGGGACACAAACACAAGACAATCTGGCATTTGACAGACAATGTTGCTTATTGTGGCTTTTCAGCTGTAGGCAGCTTGATTGTGTTCATTTAGACATACATGTTACTGCAGAGGAAGCACCTACCATGTTTGTCTTGTAAATGCTTCATGAGAAATGTTGATCGTGTGTACACCAATTTGCAGAAAGGACAATGATAGTGACTTCTTAACGTTTGTGTGCGTTCCTTAAGGTAACAGGATACCACAAATTTCTCTGAAAAAGAGCAGTACATTGGTGAGTAAGTTCAATGAAGAAATGGACTAGGACAAAATATTGGACATCATGTATTGTAGCACAGTGAAACAATACCTTGTTTATCGCATACAAAGTAAATTGCTTCTTTTAGGTGTTTTCTTTGGAGATGAAAAGTGTTTCCAAGTTCCTTCTTTTCACAGAAGATACACTGTGAGGCAGCGCATGCCAACAATGAAGCAACATCAGAAAAGACAAAACGTGAATCTGTAATATACAAACAAAAAAATTCAGAAAAAATTGGTAAAACATCACATTTTGGAATATCAAAAACCTTATTACATGTGTACTATGCACTGTTAAATATCTGACATTCATTTCCATTAAGTCATTTACCCTGTAGGCCCAAGGGTGGCCCAGTGTAGGCCTACAGCAGAGACAGTTGTTCAATAATATGGCAAATTGAAAAATGTAATATAGCTATGCCATACTGGCAGGTTAACTGCAAAGCAAGGGCTGCAACAACTTGTAAAGATATTTGATCGGTTGTACATGCCCTGAACTAGCAAATGAAATCTGGCATGTTATGCAGAAACACTGAAATTGTTATAACAGCGTAAATCTTGTTGTTTCATACATATAGGCTACTTATTTAATTAGGGGGATATCAATTTAAGCAAATCTCTAAACTACAAAGGTTAGCGCTTAAAGGGTTAAAGCAGCGCACACAGAGACCACATCTCACCTTCCATTGTTCAAATGACGACAGCAAGTGGCGAAAACCAGTTGACTCTGTGGGGGGAAGGGTGGGGAAATTAACGCTGTTAGATCCTCTTATTTTCTTGACTATTTTCTTTTTTAAATCCAATACATCTCGGTTATCATGAGGTGTAATTAA